GGGACAGCCGGGGTGACACAGGCTGTGCTGTCCCCAGGGCGAGAGCATCACTTGGGTCATCTTCCTCATCTCCTACTGGGGCGAGCAAATCGGGCAGAAGATCCGCAAGATCTCGGACTGGTGAGACAGTGTCCGGCCACACACGGGTTTATTTAGCACCATGAACCCCACCACGGGGACATGCTGGGGCCCCCCAACACCAACCCAGTTGATGTCCATCTCTCCCAGCTTCCACTGCCACGTGTATCCCTACCCGGAGAGTGAAGCCAGCCGCATGGACACCATGAGCGGGCTGCAGAGCCAGATCCAGGACCTCAGCGTGGTGAGCTGGGCACCACGGTGGGTACCAGGTGGACCACGGTGGGAACCCCCCATTCCTGAACCGTGCTGGTGCCCATAGGTGCTGGAGGAGACGGAGCAGTACCTGGCGCAGGTGCTGGACAAGGTGGTGCTGGCGTTGCCTACCTGGTGGGTCCAGGTACAGAAGATGAAGGCCATCTACCTCGTGCTCAACCAGTGCAGCTTCGATGTCACCGAGAAGTGCCTCATTGCCGAGGTCTGGTGCCCCGTGAGGGACCTCACCCAAGTGCAGGATGCGCTGCGCCAGGGATCGGTGCGTTGCTTGGTGTCCCCATGTCCTTATCTTGGGGTTGTTTGGTGTCCCCATGTCCTCATACCAGGGGTTGCTTGGTGTCATCATGTTCTTATGCCATGGTTTTCTCAGTGTCCCAGTGTCCTTGTGTTCAGGTTGCTTGGTATCCCCACATCCTTGTGTTGCAGTTTGCTTGGTGTCCTCTGCTTGGTGTCCTCACGTTCTTCTGCTGGGGTTTGCTTGGTGTCCCCATATCCTTGTGCTGGGGTTTGCCGGGTGTCCCTATATCCTTGTGCTGGGGGTTGCCGGGTGTCCCTATGTCCTCATGCCAGGGATGTGCTTGGTGGCGTCCGTATCTTCATTCCAGCAGTCACTCGGTGTCCCTGTGTCCCCCATGGTGGGGGGGTTCCAGCAGAGGGGTGCTGTGGGTCATGCTCTGGGTGCTCTCCCCACAGTACAAGA